CCAACTAGTCCTATTCCCCTGCAATGAACAGGAACAGCTTGAACAGGTGCTTGGAGCTAGGTCGAGCCTAACCTTGAGTGTCTCTAAAGATGGGGCATCCACCAATTGGAAGGCTATACTGAACAGAATTAGCTCTCTGCTGACGAGACATGAGTAACAACTGCATCATCACTTGCCTCACAGGGAAGGCTTTCTTTTTCTTTGGCCAACAGAATGAGATCAGCTTTGCTGCCTCTTACCTGCATTCTCCACAATGAACAGTAAAAACATCCGAGAAACCTAAGATTGTGCTACTGATTTATTGTCTTTTACATTCTAAGCTTGCATTTTTGTTTTTTTGTTTTTGTTTTTTGTTTTGTTTTTCTCCCTTTACAGTATTAACAAGCATTCTGTACTGCTTGCACAAAAAATGAGAAATAATAATGGTCACTCTTTAAAAGCTAATTCTCTAATATCTTAATATATTCAAACTACCATAAACTCTTCTGAAGGTTCAGAATACCTTGTTCTGAGGTAGGGAGTTATAGTTGGTCTTGATGATCTTAGTGGTCTTTTCCAACTTAATGATTCTATGATTCTGTACCTAGGTGCTACTGCAATAAATGATTCTTCTGTTACCTAGAAGTAATGGCTCACTTTGCAATTTTTCTGGAGCGTAATGTGACTATTAGAAATGTGTGATAGTTCAGCTCCAGTTCCCCCAGTGGACACAACAGTCTGCCTAAGATAAAAATAGATGTGAGTAGGGTTAAAACAGTGGTGCTCAGTTAAGTTAGTTTAGTGCTGAAGATATTATGGTAAGGTTCTGCTATCATGTGGTAAAGAAGGTTAACATAAATTGCTCAGCACGGATGAACAAAGGTCATCCTTACTAGATGTGACTCTATTCCTGCTATGATTATGCAGAAAATTCCTAGTTATCTTGGGAAGGTGAGTGAGTACTCTCAGTCCTTTGAGATTATGCAAAACTTGCTCACTGTGAACTAGCAAATTTGTGGGGGATGCAACATGTGCAAGGCAACATGCTGCTGCTTACCGAAACAATATGGGCTACATGAGGGTTGCAAGAAGAAATGTTTTCAGAATGCACAGGCAATTTTCTGTTTCTTTTTTTGTGCCATTTGAGTTGTACACTAGCTTTTCAAAGCCCTATCCCTGTAGTCTGTCTACCACCGTCTATATGTACCAGGAGGGAAACTGAGTTATCTCAAGCTTTGAGCAAAGCATAGTCAATTGGAAAGAGCATTAGTAGTGCTCATGTCAGTAGGATGTGGAAAAGTGTCTCTAAGTCATGTCTGAAAAGTATTTATAATTAAGTGGATGTCAGTACTTGATCATGAAATTAAATAAATAATTAAAAATTAGCTTGTTTAATTATACTTTAATCCAAACTCTTTTTTGATGGTTCTGGAAATAGCTTATAATCAAAATAACTAAGATTAATTAACTGAGACTAAATTAGTGTTGATTACTTTTAATGTGTTAAGCACAGACTACAGTTACCAACTCACCTACATTAATTACATTCAAAGCATTGCTGAAGTAGAGAGAAGAAAAGAATTTTGAACAAGGTTTTGCTTTCATCTGAGGTCATAATATTGGCCTTCCAAAATATATGACTACTGTATATTGAATAGATGTTGAGGGTTAAAACTTTAAAGAGCATATATAAGATGAAATTCTTTATAATTTAAACTGTTGTTTTTCCTTTGTGTTAAGTGATTCAGGGCCATATAATTCTCAAAACATTTAGAGTAGTTTGGCTGGATGGGACTCTATATTTAGCATTACTTTTTTTTTTCTTATAGATTCCCTTATAGCTACAAAGACCTACAATTGTTTATCAAAATCATTGCAGTTACTATAACTTAATTAGCATGCATTAAGGGTTCCATCCTTCTTAATGTTTTCTTGAAGATAAAGTGACAAAGCACAAAAATAGTTACTATGTTGTTTAAAAATATCCTACAAAGTAGCCCAACAAGAATTTTTATTACCTTTTACACAGCAAATAAACAAATGTCTTATTCAACCAAAGCAAGTTGTTTTCATTTTATCTATCTCTCAGACCTCATTTCTTCAGACTGCACATCTTTCCAATTTACTCACAACTCTTGGTATGGTAACTAGCTTTTATCCATCTCTTATAGCAGTCTAAGCAGAAAGTAAGTGCTGGGATTGTGGAGTGTTTAGGAGCAGCAACATAGAAGGATGATTTATAGGAAGCTTTAAATAAGAGAATCTGAAAAAGAATAAAATGTTAATTTTTATTAAAAATCAAAGTCTCTCTTTTTTAGTGTTAGTAATGATATAAATTGCCTTTTAGTCACAACTAAACAGTACATAACATGTTTTGTTTTGTTTTGTTTTTTAGTAGAAGTTGAAAATGTTTCATTTAGTACTATTTTTAATGGTAATGTTCAGGATAGGAATGTCAAGCACAGCATGTTGCCTCTCTACAACTTTGCTTTTTTATGGAGTTATGGGATTTGCAATAGATGTAGACTGAGACAGAGCTTAGATGGTGCCAGTGAGAATTTCTTTGAACTATTTTTATTTTAGGAACAGGTAATTCTCATTTATTTGTATTAAATATAGCAGGAAAATTTGTGTGAAATAAAGGTGTTGTAATGATTTATGAAATGATGGAAGTCCAACTTTCCATTCTACTTCAGAAGTCAATGATTGCTGAAAAACAGTTTATTTTATTTTTCCTCTTAATGTTTGGTATGGAAAATCAAGCACTGTCTTCTGTATTGATGCCATACTTTTTTATTACATTTTATATTTATTTGATTTTACTTTTATGAGCAAGTAAACACTTCTGAGTCACTTGAATGTTCAGAAGTATATTTGAGCACTGAGGCCATGCAGATAGGTTTTAATGATGCACATCTCAGCTTAACATAATTATTCTTGGTGAGAAGACAAAGGAATCCACCTTCAGCTATATCTCATTAAAATCAATAATGAATCTACAGATGTTTAATGATATAAAACTAAAAACAAAGAGGCTCATGTGGTTTTACGTTTTTCACTATGATTTAAGCTCAGCCTTAAAAAAGCCCTGTGAAGTTTTACAGTTGAAATGCAAAGAACCTTGGAGAATGACAGGGTTCTGAAGGCTAGATCCAGCTTCTTTCAAAGGAAGTTAACCACCTTGTTGCCTTCACAAGCAATTGCATGTTAGGAAATGAATTTGTTTGGTGATTAGAGCATTATTTTCTTCTCTTTCCTGAAAGATAAAATTGATGAATATATTTCAGCCCTGTATTTCAATTACTGAAGCTGTGGTTTCTTAGTAGGAGGAGAACAGTTTGTATGACAGCAGTTTATATAAATTCAGAGTTCAAATTATAAAATCCACAAGGAACTGGAAGAGGATGCGCTACATGGAAGCCATTAACAAAATACTGTTCGACTGTTGTCAGATGCATATATGTACCTCAGCTGTAGCTGTGCTTGATAAAGTAGGGAAATTCTTTTTATCTCCTTTGTGATATGTTGAAAACAAAAACAAAAAAAAAATTTTTTTGAGAAGCTACAATAAAGATAGGTATGTATTAGGTATTAGAATGATTTTAAATTATGATTGAAACTAAGGAAGCGTTAAATTAAATCTACAGAATAATTACTGGGTTTGGTTCTATTTTCATTATGATGAAAATAAAAGCAATTAATGGAAAAAAATCAAAACCCAATAGTTTAAGAATATGCCAGCTCTTTATGCTGCAGTGTGGAGTGATATCTAACTTCAAATAAATTAGAAGTACTAGAAGCAGTGTAAATGCAGAGTGGGACTTTGTGAGGTAAGCACATGTGTTGTAAATGGAATATAATAGATAGTCTTGAATTCAAAAAATTGTCTCAGAACTGTTATGTCTGGTTGAAATAAATATGGAAAGAATAAGTGTACTCAAGATCTGGTCAATTAGTGGAATTAAAATACTAAAGTTTTATGTAATCACACATCAAAGTTGTATCACGTAAATGATATTGCAACCACATTAGTTAGTAGTAGATTTAATAATTGTAGAAGAGATAAGATTTTCTTGCAAATCTTTCTCATGTAATTTAATACAGACCTCTTGTTAGATTGCGTTACATGGAGCAGGAATTTAGATCATGTTCCTAGGCCAAAAAGCTGAAGAAACGTGCCTGCCTCTGGTTATTATTTTGCTATGAATCTGAAATGGTTGTATTATGTTGAATGCCTAACCTGGAAGAAAATAGCAACCAGAAATACAGATTAGAAATGGGTGGTAGTTAGGCCTGCTGGGCAAGTGAATGTATTCTGTCTTGAGTTCAAAGGGAAAACAGGACACCGTGGATTGGGTCAGCATGGCTAAATGGGAATTCACAGCATCTGAAGCAAATCCCAGAAATGGTTAGGTAGGATAACGGTTGTTTAAGTGGGAATCAGGAGTAGCTATGTGGATCAGAAATACCACAGGGTCTCATTTAGTCCTGAAATAACTGTGAGGCTCTTATCCCTTCCCTTGCTAGTTTTCTGTATGCAAGTAATAGCTGGACTTTTTTCCTCTTCTCCTAATGAATCCTGTATCTTTGAATCCTTTTTTGTCTACATGCATATTTGCAAATAGGTAAGAGGATTTTTAATGGGAGTATCTAAGAGAACTCAAAGCGCAAGCAGTTGCATTTGCTTTAGAGAGAGTTTGAAATATTAATCTTTTACTTGAAAAAGTAATATTGAATGGCTTCCAGTGGGGGAATTTCCTTGGGAAAAATTCAACTGAAGCATCTCTGCTGTCTGTCAAGATGGGATGGGGAATGATATGTTGTTTGGCTCACAGACAGTGGAAAGAATAGCTAAAGGTTTGTATGGGAAATGTTGAGTCCTGGCCTGAACCACTGATTGAGCACCTGGGGAAAGGACCCTGTCAGCCCTGGGAGCACAGGTGAAGGCAATTCATCAGTGTGATTGGAAGGGGTGGAATCTGGCTTCACCTCTCTTAGATCTCATTTAAGGATTGATCCCTGCTGGGGAAAGGTCTTTTTCTGGAGATCCCTTCTTGGTGAAGATTTCCCCTGTGAATGCAGAATCTTCTAATATGAGTGAGTAAAACCTCTTCCTTTCCTTTATAGCACATTTCTATTGTGCTGGTCTTTCTGTCATTACAGCTTTGTTGTAAAACTTTTCTGGTCATGTTAGTCTGTCTAGTTGCTACAAGGCTGCTTTGTAGTGCATATGTATGTGCAATGTAAGCTGTGGCTGTAAAGGAAGCATCAATTTATTATTTCCAAATTTCTAAGTGCTTAACCTTCCCTTTGTCTTTAATGAAGGTTTTTATTGTTTATAGATGGGGTAGAGGAGCTTGCCCTTGGTTTCATTGCTCTCATAAAAATGTATTAAGAAATACAAGTAGAAGTAAGTTGAAAAGGTGTTTATAAGCTAGAGATTTTCATAGGCTGCACCCAAGCAGAATTTTGTTGGAATGACAGTGCATTTGTGACTGTGATGAAGGAAAATCTTATGAAGATCCCGTGGAAGAGCTTATGGGAGAAAGCATAAATGTGGTTTGGAGGAAATCCTGCTTGTTGTGGAACAGGGCAGTGAGGATCTCTATGAAGGCAGGGATAAGAGTAGATACAGCTTTCCAAAGCAGATAGAGTTCTTGGCTAGACTTAGATCCTCGCAAGCAACAGAAAGCAGAGATATGAACTATTGACGAATGCCAGTCTGTTTGGTGTCATTTACATCATTAAGTTCATGGGATGTACTGATGGCAGGCAGACCAGTAGGCAATCTCTGCCCAGAGGGCATCTTTCCATAGATGGAAGCACTTTACAGAGAGCCTATCTGCTGGTCTTCCTTCCTGTTCTGCTCCGATAAAATGGTTTTTGTTCCTAAACTGCTTCTCCCAGCCACATAGGAGAGCTTTAAGTTGAAGCTGCTATTCTCCTTTCTCTTTGTGTGTGCCTGAAGATCCTGGAGCTTGCTGTGTGATCAAGCTCACCACGAGGGATGTTTCATATTGGCTATGCTTATATGATGGACTACATGTGTTTTATTAGTTACGCTTAAAAACGTACTAAAAAGCACATTCCTGACATTTGGTTTGCATTGTGACTGAAACTGATTTATGTTCACAGTGAGAGGAATTGGTATCACTAATTGAGTAAAACTTTTATTAATGTTTCAAAACTACAGGAATTGATAAGTTATTCATGGCATTTAGTCAGTTTTCTTGATGTGTGTTAAAGCCTGCTGGCTGAGGGAGAAAGTGGGGGAGGAATTCCTGTGAGCTCAATATTAACTCAGCTATCTTTAATAATGGGCTTGTCATACTAACAAATACTTTCTTCATCAATGTCTGAACTTCTTTTGTTTGTGAAATTTAAAGGATTTCCTCTGAAGATATGAGGAAGCACACAGTAGAAAGTTACTTAGAATGTATGTTTATGAAGGGTGATATCTTTAGATTTTATTCACTATTTAATATAGCTTTTATCTGCTAATGGCTTACACTATTTTCCTTTTTAAATTCTGCATTCCAAGGTTATCATAAGTGGATTCTCTTCCACTTATTTGATGTAAACGGCATGAATTTTACTGCTTGCTTTGGGTGTTTTTAAGAAAACAGTAGAAAAATCCAAAACAATTGAGTATAATGTTCTTACCCATCTGTTTTACAAGAAGTTCATAGATGAACAGATGGAGTCAGTACAAACTAATCACTTTATCTGTTAAATTTTGAAATGATGACAGAGTGCTTAAAGTCTGGCTCTGTACAATGGAGACATAAGGGTCTAAAGAAGCTAGCACCTGGTGGGTAATTTGGATAACTGTTACCTGTGAAGGAAGATGGAATCGCAAAATGCTGCTCTGGTGGGGCCATTGGTTCATCTGGTTTATTTTGCTTCAATGGTAATACTCCCCATGTGGGGAGGAGCAGCTGATGTCTGCCCGAGTGATGTCAGTAACAGCTAGAGGTGTGCTCTGTTCCTCAGATATTTGAAAGTGGAAAATGAAAAACTGGTGTGGTCTAGAGCAGAACAAGAAAACAAGCAGCTGGTCACGCTTTCCATCTGATCCATAGGTTTAACATAGAATAGGAAAATCCTACCTCATGTAATTGTCCTCAAGTATGCCTTAAGCACAGCATATAATTTCTAGGATGTCTGAATTAAATAAAACCATCCAACCACTTGTTTATGTAAAATAGAACAGAAGTATTTAGGCCTGGTTAATGATTTAGAATATCTTGCTGGCCATTGTGTCAACAAATTAACAGAAGAGATGTTTGGGAATTTAATGTACTGTGTAAGCAGTTATACAGGACAGCTGGAAGGAAATACTTTTTCCTCTTTGGAAAGGAATGGGGAACTCCAAGGTGAATTTTTTTGGCCTGACTTTATTTTGGGATTCTTTTACGTAGCCTGGAAACTATCCAGTACAATGTTGTCTGTGTGACATCTATATAGTAATGTTCCTGGCGTACAAAATACGGTATGGGTAGTTCTTTAATACCTAAAACTTCACTGATTGTGTAACTGTTCAAGTCTGACATTATGGAGGATAATGTCTGTAAAAAGATTATTGAGCTAGTGTGCTCATCCTTCCAATGTAGCCAACTCCACTGCTCCCCTCCAGCAGCATTTTAAGGGAGCATTTCCTCACATAATGCTAACAATGCTTACAAGCACTCAATTACCTGAATTGCCAGTTAATGGACTGTTACTGTCTGTGATGCTCCTCTCATGGGAGGAACTGAGGTATTCCTAAAACAGCCTCAGAGCTGACAGGAGAAAATAAATCCTCTAGATCTTCTGCTCAGCTAAGTATGCTAGTCCTCATTTGAGATCGCAACCTTCAAACCGATGTTTTTCTTCATCCTTTCTCAGTTTTAGGGATATACTAATTCTGTCTATCTGGGATGCCAAACTTTTGTTATCGTCTGCACTGATAGTGTTTGCTGTTGTCTAATAAATGGAGTACTAAGGTAGCATTAAAGTGCAGACACCCATTATTTGGGTTTTATTTTTGCTTTCCTCTGCATTTGCATTTTCTCAGGAATTTTACCAGTCTTTGCAAACAGTGCATTCCTAACTTAAGATTTCAGTTAAATCTGGATTTAGAAAATGACAGTATTTACTTTAGGACTAAGATTTGCAGTTTGTAATGCTGCATGTTTTAGTGTGTCAATAGAGATGATTCAATCAATTCTACCAATGATAACCCGGGGGAATTTGTCTTAAACCATATTCTGAGGAAAACTGCTTAATATCATGCCACTGCATGACCTTCTATAATATCTGGCAAGCACGTAGTTGTAGAGTCTTCCTGATTTATTTTTTTTTCTCTTAGGTAAAGGAAAATAATATAGGACTTATGACCTTTTTTCTGTCTTTTTTTTTCTTTTCCTCTTACTGTGTTTTCATGCTTGCCTACATGCTTTAACCATGGCACCATTTGGATTCCTACAGAAATAATATTCAATCTTTGTTTAAATCTATTATCTTAGGTACTATATTCTTCAGAGATAACATTCCCATTCCTCCTGCCTTTTTTATTGCTGGAGAGCAGATAGCTGAAGCATCAATTTCCAGGTTTGAATGTGCTTTTAACTAAGGCTTTGATATAGTTTAAAAAAAAAAAACAACACCTATTAAAAAGCATCAGTGGACAGCTTTGTTGTTTATATCTGTTGCACAGCAACAATACTATGAATTCCAGAAAACCGGAGGTGGCAGAAATGTGAAAAACACAGCTACAATCTGGAAACTTCTTGGCAATTCTGACTACTTCCTTGGCTTGGGTGTTAGAGTCCTCTGTAATGTCAAGCCAAGAATGCGTGCCTTTAAACTTATATGTTGTACTGCTTTTCAGATGTTGTCTTTTCATCTTCTGCTCTAATATTATTTTTCATTTCTCTGAAAAATTCCTTGGAGTTACTGGCCCTCTTGTTATCCTTTCTGTTTATGCTGTGAAACCTCTGTTGATATACCCGAATTCTTGCAAAATGTTAGAATCCTTTGAAGTTCTTACATCTTTCCCCAAAAGCTGGGGTTTGTTTAGTGATATTTTACCCTTATGTTTTGCTTTGCAGACTTAAAGTTTGAAATTCACATTTCTGTATTTATCTCCCTCATTATTTGGAATTTTTTCTTTTTTTTTTGTTGTTGGGATACTATTCAATCTTCAAATTAAACTAACTTCTGCTTGCCAACATGTAATTTGTGTTTGGTTGCTCTCTTTTATTTTCTGATTCATTCAGCATACAGTATTTATAAATTGCTCCACCTTGAGCAATCTGTCTTCAGCACAAATAATCTACTGTTGAGGAAAGGCATATAAACGGACCTTCTGCTATAGAACAGGTTGTCAGATGCATCTTTGAAAGTGTTTACAGGACAAAGTGCATTAGTAAAACCATAATAAGGCACACCCAACAGGAAATCACAGTCTATATTTATTTCTTGTTTCCTGAGTTTGATGCAGAAACACAGCCTTGAACAGCAGTGGCAAAGGCACAAAGCTGGAATTATAAATTTCTTTCATATGTATTTGTGCATTAGAAAACAACACTTCAGCACACTTAAGTGTAAAGGTTTTGCCAGGAAATATCTGATATCGTGGAGAGTATCAGGTTTCTAACAAAACTGAATCACATGGGTGTAATCAGTGAATTAATGAGCAGAACACAGGTGTATGGAACAATTACCTTTTGTTTTCTTTGTTATGGTGATAGGATTTCTATTTTGTGTAAGTATATTCATAGATTTTTTTTTTTTGAGAGAGCAAGTTCCACTGTGTACATTCTATCAGCAGGGCTTAGTGTTGCAGGCTCAGTTACCATATTTGCTCCTCCTTCTAAACTTAAACTGGCTAAAGCTTGTTCAAATCATCTGTGAACATACCATCCTCCCTCCTCTTCAAAGCTACCAATTTTGTCATTTATGCTAGGAGCCAGAATGAAATGAAACGGAGTGATGAAAACATCAAGAGAAGCAATCTTCTTCCCTCTGCATTTCACTTTCTGCCTTGTTCTCTCTTATTCTTCTTTTCTACTCTTTGCTCTGTCACCTCTTCCCTGCTTCATTTTCAGCTCCTC